GGTAGTGGTCGTTCCCCCCCCCCCTTCTTTTGGTACTGTATGGTGCATGACATGTTTCACAAATTGCAGCTTGCAGAGGACCCAGGCCTGTCAAGGCAGTTTGACTCACAGTGGCAAGTCTGCGCTGCCAGAGGGAGATGCGTCTGGAAGGCGTGTGCGCTGTGATACACTGTGCTGGTGATGGGTAGGGTTCCTGGGAAACCACTGGGGCTAGGCAGGAAAATGCTCTCCTTTCCTAGAGAGCTGGCAGAAAGCTCTGGGCTTGAACCTTTCATTCTGGAGACAGCACATGGATCATATTTAAAGGTGCCTTTTACTCTTCCCACTCAGAAACTCACTGTTGTCTGCAAAATAAAAGGAAAGTTAAATAAACTGAGTGAGATTGCATTGCTCAGCCTGGCAATCCACCCTCTTCAGGCTGATTTCATGCAGACGACTTCTTGTTTAGTCTCGGAGTACCTTCCTCTTTCTTTCTGCACATCTTAGCATTTCTTCAAAAAAACACTGTAAAAATACCATTTCTTAAAAATACCACTTGCTTGGGGGTGGGGACAGAGGGAGTTGTCTTATCTCACTTGCTTAGGCAGACTGAATTTTGAAAAGTAATTTAATTTCAGGTGACACTCATGCTACACTTAATCTTAGACAATGTCTGGAGTCTGGAAGTCCACTTATAGCTGAAATTTTTAAAGTTGAGCATATAGAATATATTTACACCTAATACGAGGTATTTTATGAAAAGGGACTATTATACTGTAGAATGTGCTGAATGTTCAGTAACAAAAAATGGATTACTTAATATTTGTGGAATTACTGCATATGGAAAGTTGCTCAATGGAGGGGCTCTCCTCCAAGCTTTCTTAGAAACAAGGTGGTACTAAGGTCCACAAAGAAAGGGCCTACTCCTCCCACTGATACTCTAGAACAACTCTTTTGTGTTAGTTGGAAAGTGAGAGCATTTATTCAGATTTGACATACTGCCAGTTCCATCAATGTATAGAAATAGGGTCCCACTGGCATGGACTCGTTTTGTAAGATTGGTCCTTGATTTTTCCTTGTAAGGTGATCTCAGCTTCATAGATGGCAACAGTCCTTTTTCCATTCACCTAACTCCGGTCCACAGTGCCAATAAAAATCTCCTTTGCTCTTGCAGCAGATGATGGCAGGAGCTTCCCAGGGAGGCCCCTGGGGAAGCATTGTCACTGCAAGAGTAAAAACGATATTTGGAGGCTGTGGAGTGCACATGGTAAATATGTCCTCCAGGACACATTAAATCTGGGTACACCTGCAGGTTTCCCTGGGGAAATCAGCTGTGGTGGGGGAGGCCACAAAGGTTGAGGAAGGTTGTGGTAAGCAGCATGGGCAAGTGGTTGTTTTGTCCCAAAAGCCGTTGTCTATGATGGTATAGGCACAGTCGGTGTTTACAACGTGTGGCAATCAGGACACGGGCGTGAAGCATGTACTTACCATGCTCTGTAAGCAATTCACAGCTTGATGGTGCCATATTTGGACGAAGCACAATGATACCCAAACCCATACCTCCAGTTCCCGTTGTCCCAGCGTGTGCTGATGTCCGTTGATCAAGCTGGCAGCCCCTCGCTCAGCAGAGAGCTTGGGGATGTGCTGTGTGAAAGGGTCCACCAAACTCTGGCCTTTGGCTCAGGCCACAGCCCGTGGAAATCAGGAGATATGCCTGCTGGCTTGGATCAGCTCCAGGTCAGGTCCCCAGTCCTTAAGGACGGTCCTTGCTCTGATTATTGCCTGCTCAGTGCATTGTTGGCACTAAATGTGTACTCAGAAATAACTTTTTTTTTTTAACAGTAGGATTTTATTAGGTATGAAAGCACAGGTAAAACATTTGTTGCAATCAGTAACCCCAAAATCACTTCCATATGGATATATAGCATCAAAAATATACCCCTTTACTGTCAAAAATATTCCCCTTTGCTAACAGTCAGCTACAATTTGTTAAAGAGATCTCTCTTCCCTTAAAAAATGAGTTTAGGCCTATGTACATTTGTACCACGTGTGCATACACCAACACACGTGCAGGTTTTGATGGTGAAACTGTTTAACAGCTCCCCTATCCTTAAATTCTTCTCCATCTACTGTTCTAGGCACAGAGCGCTGCTTTTGCTTCTACTTTCCCTCATCCTCTCTCCTGATTCAATTCCATGTTCAGCCTTGACATATTGTACTGCTTTTGTTTTTAAAATCTTTACTGTTTTAGAATATTTAATGCTTAACAAGAGGCATGTCAGTAATTCAGTGCAGCCGTTAAGTCTCTTCATATGGGTAATGGCAATCTCTCAGCGGTGGCTAGCCCTGCAGAAGACATATTTACAGACGTTTCTTCTTCACAGAGCCTTTTAGACGAAGACAGAGCCATCCTGGTCACTGGTGTTCAGGGTTACGTTGCTGTTCATGACGCTTTCTGCATAGCTAGCTGAATAGGTGACCTGGTAGCGACTGCAGGGGCCACAGAAACACAGGAATGGACAGTACTTTAAGCAGACACGATAAAGGTATTTCCTGAATTTTTCCCCAGCAAAGGCATAGATAAGAGGATTGAGACAACAGTGACTGAATGCAATGGTTTCGGTCAGATGCATTGCATAGTCCAATGATTTAATTTGGTTGCAACTTGTGAATAACTCATAGTGCTTTAAAGTCTCTAGAAAAATCAGTACATTGTAGGGGGACCAAAACAGAAAAAACACGACCACCACAACCAAGATCAGTTTTACAGCTCGTGTTTTTTTCTGATTTTTGCAGGACAGCAGGGTTTTGATGATCCCACAGTAGCAATAGCATATGATACAGACTGGGATGAAAAAACCGATGGTGTTCAGCTCCACATTGCAGAACACCGGCCAGATGTTCTCCAGCTCCTGGGGGAAGACAGGAATGCAGTCGTTTTCTACCAGCTGGGAGAACACAAAATGTGGCACTGAAACTAAAACCGCTATTGCCCATACTCCGCAGGTTACAAGAAAGCCATGTTTCACCGTTCTGCATTTCAGAGAATATGTTGCCCGGACAATGGCCAAGTATCTGTCGACACTGATAACAGTGATGAAGAACATGCCCCCAAAGAAACCGATGTAATACAGCGAGGAAACAGCTGTGCATGGAATAGTCCCGAGGGTCCATCCACGCACCATGTTGGAGGCCCAGAAGGGGAGGGAGATCACGAAGAGAAGGTCCGAGATAGCCAAGTTCAGGAGATAGATGTCAGTGATGCTTTTTTTACTGCCTTCTTTCACAATGGCAAAACCCACCATTAGATTCCCTGTGAGGCCAAGAGCAAACACTGCAATGTAAAATACTGGCAGAAATATTTTCCCAAATTCTTGGATGTCAGTCTTATTGCAGGAAAAAGCATGTTCATCATAAGCGTATTCAGCTGTCGTTTCTGTGAATGCTTCTGTCATGCTGAATTTTCTGCCTAGAGGCAATGTGAAAAGGGAAAAGAGAATATGTTAGAGAGATCCAGTATCTGCTATGGTAAAATACTGAGAGACCTCTCCAACACGCACGCTTTGGGATTTTGTCGCTATTTGGGTTAGTGAGAGTTGTATTACTGCAGAGGTGATGGTAGTTACTGACAAAAGCCCAGACTCTGCTGTTACATGTACTTCACTGAAAATTAGCTCTTTAGGATAAGAAAAAATAAATGAGAATTTCAAGGGCTGTCGAGTAAGCCCCTGCTTATCAGAAGAGCAGCAGAAGCAGCAGCAAACCGACATCCAACTAACTGAGCTCTGCAGGTGGTGCATCGCAGCGTGAGAAATGCAGGCACTCTCCCAGTTTGTTGGGCAGTGCTCAGCAGGAAATGATACCTCACATGTAGCTGTTTATCAGCATGCGGTGCCTGTCAACACCACCAAAAGCCCAGTCTCGCCCCACACGTTAACCCCGGGCTGGAAGAGTGGTAAGACGCCCAGTTTGGCCAGGTCTGAGCCGATGCTTGCTGACGTGGGAGGAGCAAAGTTTGCACTGGGACATCCCTGGGTAGCAAGCATATCTTTGATGAGGTTTTTTAAAAAATCATCCTTGATCCAGAGAGGAGAAACTGTATTGACCCTTTTCCTCAAGCACCAAAGCGTCTCGTGACTGCTCCTGCCTTGGCTGCGAGGTAGTCAGGTTGGAGCCAGGGCTTGTTAGCGTGGAGGCTGCACCTAAAGAGAGTATGGGGTGCAGGTGTGTGACCTCTGGCCTCACTGTTCTGCACATCAAATAACTCGGGGCACCCATCAGTTCCTCTGTGCTCCCTTGGGATGTGGTGTTCAAGTCTCTGCAAAGATTTCTGTTTGCAGGGAACCAAAAATCCTAGAGGGGTGCAGATGTTACTGCATTCAGTCTGCTCCCTGGTTGGGGTAAAGAGTGGTAAGAATCCGTTACTTGCTCTCACTGTAGGAAATGAAGGAAATTGAGTGTGATACGCTGTGCAGAAGCCCAGGGAGATGACAACACAGCCAAACCAGCCTGTTAAAGCCGAGACTGAAAGGAAGGGTCAGTGGTCACAAAACTGCAACTAACCACCCCAAGGTCAGTGTCGCAATCTTCTTACAGGAACCCCCATTGACTCTGAGCAATGATCAGATTATTGATCTGATCCAATGCAGGCCAGGCCAAATCTGCTTTAAGACAAGATAGACTGCTTTCCAGACTCTGCTGACCGTGTTGATGAAACTCCTTTTGACTATAAGGAGAGCATGGGCACATTACTCAGTGGTAGACGCTGATGGTGTGTAACTACTCCCACTCCTGACACTTAAGAGTGAAGTGGTTGGAATCCCAGCCTACATGTCGATGTTTCACTGATAGCAATAGTTTTTATAGCCTCTGTTTAAAATAAGCCTTGCAAGACTAAGCATGAAATAAAGATATCCTGAGCTGTGAGACAGTCCTTGCCCAAGAAGTTTCATATGACATAGTGGTAACTACAACAAACTCCCCCACGGGTGGCTACTGTGACCATATAAACATTTTCTCCTAATGCCTCATTGCCAGAGTGCTGTTTGTGGTGTGGGCCATGAAGTTCTGGTCTCTTATTTTGTAGTCATTTCTCAAAGAGGTTTTTTTGTGCTAGTTGGAAATTCAGGCTCTCCATTTAAAAATATCTTCTTATTCTGAAAGTTCAAAGCCTAGCTGTCCCCAAAACATTCAAATGAGAAGTGCCCACAGTCATTAGAAAACAATCTTTGTGGTTTTGCACAGGAAAAGTGGGCTAGAAGAAGGGCTGTCTCAGTGCTGGTAGTTTTGGGGCATGGGCACAATACGGGGAAGACTGTTTGCAGCGGGCAGGCACACCCACAGGCTGAGCGGCACTTGCAGTGCCTTTCCACTTGAACTGGGAGCTGAGTCTGCCTGCAAAGTCTGTCCAGCCCCTTGCTTGCAGCCCAGTTTAATTCTCCAGCTTCTGGAGATGTGGTATCTGATGCCAGCAGAATTAAAGGGGACGAGTAGGAAATGCCTAGGTGCTGGGGCAGAAGCTGACAGCAATTGCAAACAAGATACTGTTTTTCTACTGGTGAGATAACTAGAGTTGCCTACAGAGATATGTGACAGGTTCCTCATCTCTTCATGTGTCTGTCCAGTCATCACTTTATCTACCCTGTTGAGGGATACGGAAATGAGCAGGAGACATGGTACATAATCCCAACAGCCCATCATTTTCTGCCTTCCCATCCTGACATTTTCTTTCTCCTCTTCTGAGACTAAATGTCTGCAGCAGGTGCCTTTAAAATGAAAAGTGTTGGGGTACACCAAGTCTCTTGTGTCAAATATGAGTCGCTATGCCAGCCCACTTAGCTGTTACTGCACCTATCTGCACACTGCCAGAGCTTCCGTCTTACCCTGTGGGCTGATGTGCTCCACAGCTGGTTCTTCACCAATGCACCGGTGTGCGGTAGCTGAGGGCTACCAAAATGATTGGGGCTGGAGAACCTGGTGTATGAGAAGACGCTGAGAACTGGGTTTGACCAGCCTCAACAAGAGACATCTCAAGGGGGATCTAGTGAGAAGGTGTAAAGGTGAAGCAGACAACTTTCCTCAGAGGAATAAGAGGCAATGGACATGGGAATTTGTTACTCACTATATGGAAAAAAAAATTCACTGTGAGGGTGGTCAAACACCAGGACAGGGCTTCAGGAAGGTTGTGGGATCTCCATCCCTGGAGATACTTGAAACTCAGCCAGCCCTGCTCTGAGCATGGGTTTGGACAAGAGACCTCCAGAAGTCCTGTCCTAACTTTGTGACTCTGTGACAAAGCTGAACAGAGGCCACGATGTCTCTGCAAAGTGCCCAGCTTCTTCTGTGCCATGTAAGCTCCTGTTTCAGACAAGCAGAAGTCCCATCATGCACAAAGGATAAAACTGATTGATGCCTGCTCGTATCCCATTAGTATCTTTGCTAACTGCACGGGCATCCAGAGGGGGCTGCTCGGTGGTGCTTGCCTAGACTGTGTGTGCTCTGTGAAATCCCTGATCTGGAGAGAGGCAGCGCACATTGGTTTACTCTCCTCTCTGAGAGCATCTAGCTGTGCTGGTCCTTCCCATGCTTGCTCCCTTTACTCATGTCTAGAAAGGCAGCTTGTTCCTCTGGAGAGTTTCCATGTGTCTGTACAAGCTGCTGTGCTCTATTGGGCACAGGGAGGATTTCACACGTGTAAGGAAATGCAGCTCCCACCACGGGGTAGCCCTCAGGTCTGGCAGACTTCTGCACAGGCTGCGCCCACGGGCATTGCCTGGAGAGAAAGCTGGGCATGGGAATGGCCATCATCTTCACAGGAGCACATTTACACGGAGGTGCAGGATGAACTCCTGGCCTTATTGGAGTAAAGAGGAACATCACTTGGGCTGGGATTTTTCCTGAAGTACCTTTTCAGTCAGATAATCTCCCCTAGCTCACTGATGGGGATCATTTATTTCTACAGTAGCAAATTATTTCCTTTACCCCTGGATGGGTGGTTGCAAAGCTCGTGGTACCTATGTCAACAGGAAGGGCGAGATGCTGCATAGCATGTCCAGGGGCGAGAACTGCACTTACCAAAATGACAGTGGCATCCAAAACTGCTGGCACAGTCTGTGGCTTGTTCACTCTCTAGCTCCTGGATTTTGTATATCACCAGCCACACAGTCATATTTTCCCACCGCCACTCATCCTGCATATGCAATGCTGTCAGTTCTTTTTGAATATTTAGCTCCTCTGATACCACTTTGCTCAGTTTAAGCTGATGTTACTCAACAGGTGGGCTGCAAACTCCAAAGGGCTCCCAAAACTCAGCCCATGCCAGATAGGCATAATGTGATGAAATGTTATTGCACCCTAAAATGAGGAAACTTAGCTCTGCCCATCCTCCATCCTTCCCTGCCAGGTATTCTCCATCAGCCTCACAAAGCCCACTGCAGTGCATGCTATAGTCTTCTCACTGGCAGCTTCAACCCAATTTTCTCTCTTGTGCTTACGATAAATGTTCACCTAAGGGACAAAGTGAACTAAAGAGTGTAGAGGACACTGAAGAAGGACTGCAGGGCTGCGAGGTTCCTCCAGCAGACGTTTTCCCTTGCTGAGTACAGGAAATAGTAGATTCACTTCTGCTTCTCATGGAACTGCTCAACTGCCTTGCTCTCTCTCCAGATTTCCCCAGCAGTTTTACACCCTACTCCCACAAACACTTCTGCTTTTAATCACGTTTATAGCAATCTCAAAGACAATAGTCTGCAGGACCAAAACCCGTTTCTCAACCTAGCTATTTCCAACAACCATGTGCGCTATATGTAATACATAGGGAAGTGAAATTATGAGAGATCCACAAACTCCTCTAAGCAACAGAAGTTGCATTTCAACCTTCAAAGAGCACTGGCATCAGGCTGGGTGACACAAGAGCCAAATCCTGTTTATGCATCTGATCTATCCAGTTATCACCCCTGGCGCTTCAACCAAGTGCCACGTTACAAGCTTTACTGCTGAGAAGAGGGGTCTGCGAGCACTTCGCCTCTCCGTGATGCCTCTGCTGACACCGTATGAAAAGAAGTTAAAAAAAATAACCAAACCCAGACCTCTGCCAGAGGGTCACGCTTCAGATTTGCACAATACGCTGATAAAAGTATTTAAGCCTCAGAAAGATTTTCACACCTTAGTCAGCATTTTGGGGTGAGGCTGATTTGTATGCTTTTCTCATGCAAGCAAAGCATGTTTTCAGTGCATGCTGAACGGGCCAGAGCTGCATGCCGACGATTCAGCTGGCCCAGGGAAGCTGTAGGCTTTGTGGGAACCCCTGTGAAACCCTACAGGCACAGTATGCCTTTCTCACCCTTAGATCTGAGCTGCCACCACCCTACCCAAATATAAACACGGTTGCTTTTGCACATTTGCAACTACACCCATCTTCTTGCCAGCCGATGATTCTTGGCAAGACTGTAGGGATGTCCTCAGGTACCTCCAAATGAAATGTCGTAGCTGCTGGTGGCACTTCTAACGCACAAAAAAAAAGAGATTTAAGGGAATTAACCAGAACTGGGTGGAAACTAGCAGGAGAGATGCGAGTCTTAATAGCACTCTGGGTGAAACTCTTAATCAGCCTGGCGCCAGGCAGCTACCACACAATCACCAGACTGCCGCGGACACCTCTAACCACTGTTTGGATGATACCCAAAACAAAACTTAGACTTATGGGCAATACACTAACCAGAGATGGCTCCCGGTTTCTAGTCCTACACCCAACGGGTTCCTGTAATTCACTTAGCTTATCTTTCAGAGCAGGGTGGCTCCATTCTTAGGGGATGGTCTCTGGAGTTGTTTGGGATCGTGTTAGATAGCCAGGGTCAAAAGCAGGCCCAGCCCAGCTTTTGATTTAATTACTTTAAATCTTAAATCTCAGTCTTGTATTCAGTCCTGAAGTGGGGAGATGTTCTCCCTGTTCCACCTCTACAGGTGCTGGAAGCAGGTGACACAATGCCGACCTTTGAAAGTGGGAAGCAAGGTGAAAGAGCTAGTGTAACCTAACCTTTAACCTGGGCAAAATAAAATTTAAACAGTACATGGGGAGAGTGTAGCTAATGCCAGTCTGCATGGCTTTATAGAAGAGAAGCTTTAGTTTGGACATCTGATGAGATTGCAAGGTTGATAAAGGGTACTGTGCGGGAGAGTTGGAGCTTTGACTTGCACTGCCTGCTTATTTGATTGACACATCTCTCCAGCCCAAAGCAACACAAGCCCAACAAAGCATTGCAATGGGATTTGGGCTGGTTAGCTGTCAGATCTCAAAAGCCAGCCAGCCATGGAGGAAGGCTCACCAAACTAGGAATATTGTTTGTAAAAGGTCTGCGGGAACGGTGAGTTGAAAGCCAAAAATTCTTCAGTAATTTCATCATTGGTCTGAAAGCAGATTGGGAATCAGGGCTGGCAGGAGGAAGTGATAAAACAGTTAGAGAACTGGACAGTGATTCAGACAGATCTGAGTAATCTGGGGCTTCTCTAATGATTCACGTTGGCTTTAACGTAGCCAAAGTGACACTCTTGGGAGTTAAACGACACAGACCGTGTCTCTAGAGTGGGGGTACATCCATTAGGAAACCGGACTGCCGATAAGGGCAGACTCTGAAACCAAGCTCCCAGCTAGATGTTGCAGTAAGAAAAACTGATGCAACCCTCGCATGTTTAAAGAGGTGCTAAACGGGAAGGAACAAAAGAGGGAAGACTACCATTGCAGAGCTTGATACTGGGGCTGTAGGCATACTTTGATAACACTTGATTTCACTTTTGCTCTTGTTAATAATCTTGCTAATTTAGTGGAATTAGCCATACCATCAACTGATACATGGAAATTCAAACCAGAAACATGCAAGCTAGAAATCAGATACACATTTTTAATGGTGAAAGGCTAATGACTGGAACAGACTTCAAGTAGGAAAAGGAGATTTTTGCATGCCTGAGGGTCTCTATGTCAAGAGATGATATCAGTCTGGGAAACGGGTTTAGGCCAGACACAGTGGAGGAGCTCAGCGGCGGGGTACTGGGTAAAAACCTACAGCCCCTGATCGGCAGGGAGGCAGAGCAAATGGGCTATTGGGGCACACTCGTCTTAACAACCATGACTCTTGGTTATAAATGATTGAAAAAGCCAAACTATCCTCTCCCCAGCACTAGCTAGCCCAAATCCCGGGATTGGACCTCCTGGAAGGAAGTGGGGTCCTGTGAAGAGCACGGAGCAGCTGCTGGGGTTGGGTTAGAGGGGAGGCTATATGATGGCTGTGGAAAGAAAGCAGCACAGTTTGGGGGCGGGGATGTTGTTATCAAACAGCCGGTCTGTACTGCCTCTGTTAAACCCTGTGTGTTTTCCGTACTTCTAACCAGTTCTTTTATCATTTCTCCATCGCTTCTGAGTGGGTGTGGTGTAATCCCAGATGTATCCTTGCTCCCTGCTCCCCCAGTCCTTCCCTGATGACTTTAAGGTGAGGGAATTCCTTTCTTTTGTGTTTCTTCTTTCTTCTGTGATTTATTCTTGGATCAGCTGGACCATTTCTGTGGCCCAGCAGAGTTCTGCAAGCTTAATAATTGCTTATCGATTTGGGTGATTTAATTTATGGAGGTTCCCCCCAAGACTTTGAGGGTAAGTTTTTTAAAAGCAAGTAGTGATCTGGGCTGCTTCATATTGGATTTTCCAACTCAAAGTGGAGTTCAAGGTGCAGAAGCATGATGCTGAGGCTTTCCAAAAATTAGGGCATTTAAGGTGTCCTAAATAAAGGACCCAGAAATGGAAGCCAATCAAACCACTCCTGATTAAAATAAATATAAGCCTGAATATTGCAGAGGCCTGTGGTCCCTTTACAAAAGCATTTAGGTCAAAGAGATGAAAAAAATGCCCCTTCCCTGAACCAGTTCTACAGTTTTTACACCAACATCACAAACTAAATAAGAAGCAGACACCACTAGCTGGAGATGAGCAGCATGTAAATCTACAGATTTAAACTGATAGTTTTGGGTAAAAAAATACATTTGAAAAGATCAGTCTTGGATCATGGAGGGCAGGAGGGGATAGTATAGAGTTCAAAATCCCCAGGATCTCTCTCACCTTCACCTAAGGCTTTACAGCATTGGAAAGTGCTTTCTCAAAGATGCTCCATGCTAACCTGGAGATAACTGCAGGGCAGCAAGTAACCAGGGCACAAGTTTCAGCTTAACCCATCGCATCAAAATTAGGTGTACTCTGATTTATAAAGAAAACACAAAAACATGGACTTACGACTGTCTCTGCCGGTGGCGAGGGCTTCACCACCTGTGCTTCAGAGCAACCACAGAGGTATTATTTTGAACAAGATCTTGCTCTTGCTCCCTTAGTGCATGGGCCAGCTGGCCGGGCCAGTGGCCTCACTCAGGCTGGTTGTGCTGTCATCACAGCAAAGCGGGCACAGGGGACTGAACCCCAGTGCCCTGGGCAAATCCTGCCCCCAGCGACATCCCTCCACTTGCTGGTTTTGTCCCCCTGCCAGCAAGACTTGCTGCGAGCTGTCAGGGAGAGACAGCAGCACCGCAGCGGTGTGTGGTTTGCTGAGGCCATGGCAAACCCTGCCAAACCCCTGGCAGCTCGCCCCTGCGGTTGCTGGTGTATTTATAGCAAAAGCTGTAAGCTGAAGCTTTCAGTTGTTTCAGCTCCTTCCCTTGACTCTGGGGAGGACAAAGCCCCTCTGAGGCTGACAGGGTGGCCATGCAGGAGACTTGGTGCCTGCACAGTGGGGGTCCCACTTGCTCCTTAATGGAGCAGGGAATAGGCTTCAGGGCATGACCAAGGTTCTTGAGCAAGTGAAGATGCAGATAGCCACATCAAGGCATTTTCCTGGGGTGCCATTGTTGATTCAAATCATTCTTCTGAATGGGAGCTAAGCACTGTGGGGCTTCTGAAAAATCCCACAAGGTCTGAACCTCTGGTGGTCAAAGTATCTTTAGAAATCTGTCTCTAAGGAGGTCAGAGCCTTAAATATCCATTTCAGAAATGACTTATGCATTTAGGAAATAGAAGCTGACAGCATGATTCAGACTCCTGCGTCTCCCCTGGATCTTAAAATCAAGGTTCAAAAATCACTGAAATGGTTCTGTAATTTTCATCCATGACTCTCAGGGTCATGATTTTGTGGTCTCGATCCTATGACCAGATCCAAGGGTCCTCTGCAGAGCCTCTGCAACCTGAGGTGGTTTCCAGGCAATGTCCTGACCCCCAGGACATGCCAGGGGATGTGAAATTAGGTAAACGGTGTGAAAATACCATTTATATAAAAAAAATATAATATTTATA